TCAAGTCCCTCAGCATCAGCTCATGTTTCTGTTATGTCTTTGTTATGTAATTAAAGAAATGAGTCCTGCACATAAAAATCCACAGAGACTCAAATCAACATGTGTTCCCTTCTCAAGCTAGCGGATTTTTATGACTGCTGACAAACTCATGAATGTTATTAGGGATTATTCTTTGGCAACAAAGGACATTTTTTGACATTTAGGCACATATCTGGCATGTGTTTTGATAAACAAAACTGTAATCTAAAGGTGTGAGTGAGACATTAAAATGTTAATGATGTTTCATGACTGATTCATCTCTTTTAAATGTAATTTTATAAAGTTAATAGTTGATCAGATTCATCGCAACCTCCAAGTTTCCACTGTGAGGAAACAGATTCAGATGCACGCAGGACATTTTTCCACTTTACCAAACGACACAAGATCATTAAATATGTGGTGTTCACTCTTTTATGTTGAGTTTTAATTTGCATCGTTTTTACAATAATCTTCGTTTAAAACTGGGATAGTCAACTGGTGGCTTGTGGGCCATTTCTGGTCTGTGAGCTCATTTCATTTGGCCCATAAATCATAAAATGATTCATTTTTTCACAGCATGTTAACACCTGTTCATGAGGTAATGGGATGTGAGATGGGCTTAAATATGGAGGAACATGTCTGAGTAAAAGGTTATGAATTGCCTTTTATCCTTGACAATCTTATGATTTTTTTTTCTTTTTTCTTGTATTTTTCCATTGGTTATTTTTTTCCATTATCTGCAGAAGTGCACTGTAGAATTGCAAAGGGTAAGGACATGATTGTGACAAAAATGAATTCCCTAAAGTGATGGTAAAAAATATTGTTTGACTCGCAACTTTAATTTTAAATTAAAAAGCAATTAAAAAGACAGTTGTTTGTGGCAGCAGACACTTGTATAAATTAAACAGGCTGGCCATAATTACTGGAAAGGTGACCAATCACTCCTAGTTTATATGAATCAAATGCAGTTATGTATTTACTTAGTAATTTTGTTTTAGTGAGAGTCTTCAAGAGGTAATGCGTGATTTCAGATACCCCAGTTTAAGTTTCATAACCTGCATTTATGGAAGAGAAGTCAAATAGTTGTAACATAAAGTTAAAGTCCCATTAGTCATCACACACTGGTGAAATTCATCTCCGCATTTGACCCATCCCCGGGGAGGGGGGGGGGGGGGGGGGGGGATCGGTGAGCTGCAGCTGTGGCAAAAGGAAATAATAACTGATCTCACATGTTTTGATGCCGCACATATATTGGTAACACTTTACAATAAGGGTCCCTTCATTAACAATACTTTATGCATTGTTAAGCATTAAAAAACTATTAAATAACATATTAACAACTGCTTAACCATATTATGTTATCATTACTAAGCAGACACCCCTCCCCCGACCCTTTGTCCTAACCTTAAGGACACCTAATAGGTAACAATAATGGCAACATTAATAAAGGGATCCTTATTATAAAGTCTTATTTAAAGGGGATGTTCAGTAATATGCAAATTTCACCTTTTACATCCTTTTGTGCTGCCTTGTGGGTCTCTACCACCCCTATAAACACCCCAAACATAAAAAAGTATCTGTATGTTTTCTGTTGGTGTTTGGTTCTGGTAATTGCGTATGTAAAACAAAAGTATATGATTGTGATGTCAGAAACAGGAAGAATAGAATGCAACAGCCTCTGATGTGCAAGAGAGAGCTGCTGCTGCTTGAGGTGCAGGGGCTCTACTCTGAGCCCCTCTCAGATATCGGAGCTTCTCAGCTTATAGCAGCCTGAGCGGAGGAAGGGTGGTTGTGGTGGGTGTGGCCACTTCTTTTTTAAAGCGACAGAGCCATGAAATTGCTTATGGAAGGTACTGAAATTGTCCAAAGTAAAAATGTGAAAATCGCTTCATGTGAGAGGGACTTAGTGAACTTCACAAACATGTTTTGTGTCAACCATAGAACTAGTATAACTTAAGCTGCAAAAGCAAATCTGCAAAACAAGCTAGGTCTTAAACATAAACACAGCCACAGATCTCTCATGCCTCCCATGGCTATCATCCCTGGCCCCTGGGCAACAGCTGCCTGACACCGTAAACCGCATAGCCTCAGTAAACAAAAGAGCACAACACACCAGTCACTGTTGTAGTTGAAAGTAGTCCGTGACTTCAAATAGTGTTTTTCTTTTTGTGACTCTGTCCTTAAGGTGAAGTGGTAGCAGCCAGCTGTTTCTCCTTCTCTGATATTATTGCGAGGAGAACCTCTCACACCAGTGGTGTTGTGTTTTAGGTGAGTGCCTATAAGTGGAGGACCCAGGGACTCGAGGAAGTGTGGGAATTTACCCAGTGAGACCCACAACCGGATGGTCTTGGTTTTGGACGAGCTGTGTCATTAATATGGTTTTTTGACAAAAGCAGGAGAACCGCTTAAATATTTATCCTTTACATATTTATAGCTACACTAAGGTAGAAGGCGTGAAATTTTTAAGCCAGCTTATTTTTTGTATTTTTTTGCAGATATGCTCTCTAAGACGAAAGTTAGAAATTTTAAGATTCGCATTTAAAATATTGTAAATTATTTGCTAACGCTGAACTTGTAAAATCCCTAAACTTTTTTGTGTGACTTTTGAAGGAGATACTAGAATTTTTGGGAGTTTCACCCATTTATTAGAATTAATCTATTTCAAAAAGTTTTTGTTTCTTATCAGATTTTTTTCAAGAACTTTACAACAAAATATTTAAGAAGAGTCTTGAAAATTGTTCCGGGCACCTCCCAGCTTGCAGCCCTTAAACTGGCCACAGCTGACGTCAAAACAACGCGGGATTCTCTCCAAAGTGCATGAACGCAGATTTTCTCCTTTTGGACTTTTGGTTTGACTTCACAAGGAATGAAGCTAAAATCTTCCTGAGGCACTTGGTCTTATTTTGAAGGCTTAACGCGAGTATTCCAGCGCTGCCTGCCTCTGACTGGCTTGACGCAGCTCTCCTCCCCGGTGCGCCTAAACTCCGGTACCTGACACCGAGGGGACGCAGACGCACGGGGGGACCGCCTGGTCCAATTTAACTTCACTTTTTTACCATTTATCAGAACTTGCGTGGCAGATTCCTCTGTTTTTCATCTCTCTCTGCGTTCCTCCAGGCCAGCGGGCTGAGTTTGGATATTAGAAGGAGTGGGGGGGCAGGAGGCAGAGGAGCAGCGAGCGGCTCTCAGATGGAGCAGCCGGGCTCCGAGAGCTCAGGGCGCACGGCGAACCCGGAGTGAGTGACGCTGGTGGATGGACGCCGGTCTCCGGTAAGAAGACCGAACAAAGTTTCTCCCTTTTTTTGGCTATTACACACTTTTGTTGCTGTTCTGTCCCGTGCTTTGTTCAGTCTAAGGCCGTGGCACAAGAGATCTCCACGTTTCATGATGACGCTCTTTGTTTAAAAAATTCAATTCAATTCAAAAATACTTTAGTAATCCCAGAGGGGAAATCGATTGTGAAACAGGGGCTTAAATAAGCTTGTCTTAGTTAGGATGTGTCTGTAGTTCAACACGCTGTGTTTTTGTACAGATCAGGCTTGTTTACTGGAGTGAAATTGCAGAAATATACAAACATGTGTGTGATTATTAAGCTTCTCCAGCCCTTTTTTCATCCTGAGTATGAATGTTGGCCCACAGGAAAATCAGCATCCCTGTAGGTTAAACATGTATTTGCTATTTAGTCAGTTTTAATTGACCACACAGCTTTTTAAATGATAAATATTGAATGAACACAGGTGTGATTGCCCAGCATGTGTCCCTGTAAGTTTCAGAGGTCTTATGATTATGTACAGTGTGTTCTGACTGGCTGAGATTCATGAGAATTGATTCCATCATGGCTCCGACTGTTTACAAGGGAGGCTTGTAATGAGTTTTTAAGGTGTTTTGGAAAACACATCAGCGGGTTTTCAGCTGTGTAGAAGAAATTACTCCTGTTTTGGTCAGTAATTGATGGTCTCACTGTTTCCACTATTTAAACAAACTCTCAACCGTACAGATTTTGATTCTTTTAATTGGATAAATGAAGTTTTCAGGGTGAATGAGTAAAACAGAGGGATAGTGGTTGCTCCAATCTCATTATATCATTTCTCTTTGAGAGTGCATGCCAGCTTTCTTGCTGTTTGCGCCTCCACAAGCTCACAGTTGTCCAGATAATTCAGCTTGTGTCCTGACTCCACAAGAAAATTTGTAGCTTTGGAGTGAATTTACCAGAATCCCCGGGGATGCACGGTGGAAGGAGCACACAGCGGAGCAGCGGGCAGCGTGTGTGTCACACGCTCCACCGTGCTTCTTTTCCTGCCAAACTCCTCTTTTTACTCCCCAGTAAAAGCAGGGAATCTGATGGGATCTTTAAAATAGAGAAAGAGAAATCCGTCTGCTCTTGTGATCTGGTGTTCAATTTTAAAACCAAAATCATCACTCACTTCCAAGATGATATTTTAGTCCTCCAAGAAATCTCTGTCAGTGCTTCTGAAAATTAACCACTGGCTGCTATAACTCATCAATGTCACTGCAGTTCAAGAGATTATATCTTTAATTAGCAGTCATGGGACATAACTCTGGAGTTTCCTCATCTCATTGCTATAAGGTCAAATATATTGTAAATTCAAATAAATGCAGTTTTAAACAATATTAATGGATATTATTTTCTTCGTGAGAGAATGAACTTGCTGGCTGAGTGACTTTATCTTTGTATGTCCAGATTGTTTGAAGGTAGTCTGGATTAAAAGCATCATCAGTAATGGTCTGTTGTCATCACAGCATCGTGCAGCTGTAGGATTATCACGAGGAGGTCTAAGTGCTTCCTCTGACCCTGTTTCTACCTCCTCTCTGTTTAGATTTGTGTAGATTTATATTTCCTACACAGGAATTTTGTCCTTTTTTTGTTTTCCGTTTGTCTGGACAATCAGTACAATTCCAGGTTGTTTTGCAGTGAGATGCTCAGACATGCACCGTGAGCGGTTTCCCCGTACCCTTTTAGGTTCAGGCTGTTCACAGCACGGCCATGACGGGCATCCAGGAGTCTGACCTGCATGAGCAGCACGAAGGACCAACGCAGGAGGCTGAGGAGGAGGAGGAGGGGGAGAAGGTGCATGTGTCTCTTGAGGGAGATGAGCTGGAGCACGAGGGGAAGGAAGAAGAAGAGGAAGGGGAGGAGAAGGAAAAGGAAACGGAAGAGCTTCCGTATCCCTCCCTAGCGCCGGTGGTTCTTCTGGCTCTGACCCAAACCAGCCCTCCCCGCTCCTGGTGCCTTCGAGTTGTCTGCCACCCATATCCTTGTCTGCACCTGAAAGTGAGGTGGTTGTGCAAAAAAAAAGTTTCTTTTTGTGTTCATGGTGTGAGAATAACCGTCTGTGATTCTGCTCTGGACTTCATCTAAACAGTTACACAGAAGGTTAGACGAGCCTGGATGTTTAGATTAGCTTCAAACACAGGAGAGGTGGGGAGAAGTTCAGCACCGACTAGTGTGTGTGTGTGTGTGTGTGTGTGTAATCATAAATGTGTGTTTGGAAGAGCTCAGGCATTTTTTGCACCCATTACTTGTAAAAAAAAACAGAAACCCAAAACAAACAGAAAAAAGACATGGCCAGCATTTTTCCCTGATTGCAGGTTTCCATAGCGACAAGCCCTAATGAATCTCCAGGGTTACAGCTGCCTGTCAGCTGTATTGTTACCGGCCTCTATTTATACGACAGAAGGGGTTACGAACGGTGAAGACAGGCGTCACCTCTCAAGCCCGACTCTGTCTCCGTTTTCTTATCTCTCAGCCTGTGAAGGTGTGAGTGTGTAGGTGTGGTTATCGGTGTCGCGGGGTGTGTGAGAGCTGCAGTGAATACTCTGAAACGTGCATAAACGTCAGCAACACCTCGGGGATTTGTCGTGGCTCTCCAAATTGAATTTTTTCCACAGCTTATGGCTGTGTGTGTGTGTGTGTGTGTGTGTGTGTGTGCATCTTGTTGCAACTTTGCAGGTAGTTACTACTGTCAGCACTCTGTGTACTCCATAAAATATAAATGCATAATTGCTGAATAAATCAAATGTACAACAAATGAAATATACAGAAAAAAAGACAAAGACCACAAACTCCTCAGTAGCCTGCTGCTTTGTTACCATGGATTCATCCCACATCGTCTCACTTTGTCAGCACTAACTTACACACACACGCACACGCACAAGCCAGTGTGTGGACGCACAGGCAAGTAAATGCCCTCGCTTAACAAGGGAATCTCCCCAGGAGAGGCTCTTTAGAGGAATCACCTGGTTGCTTGGCAACAGCATCTCTCTGCCCCGGCGACCTGGTTACTTCCGCTCACAGATGTTTTTTTTTTTTCACAAGACTGCCTGTGTGCCTCTTTTCATCTGTTTACACGTCTGTGCAGCGTGGTCGCTGGCAGGTGTCCTGTTGTATCGTCATGCGTGCCGAACAGTTTGTTGCTGTACACTTTGTGTTCGGCGAGCGTTGAGGAAGTGTTTCTGCCAGAGATCTACAGGGGAACTAATGTGGCTGGGTTTTGTTTAACAGAGACAGTAACATGAACTTGGCAGGGCGGGTTGTCTCATTTTTCCTGAGGTAACCCTCCTGTTCTGTTCTGTTCTGTTTTTTAGGCACATTGCTGATGAATTACCTGTTCACTTTCTTTTATTAATTTAAAACAGGCATGTTCCTTTGCACTTTTCCACATCATGCCATGGATTTGCTCACCACATATTTATTTCATGCATCATGCCACAAGAGGCAAGACTGTTTTACTATTATATAACATGTTTTGTGCCCTATTCAAGCTGACTCCTATAATTTCCTCTGCTCTTTGTGAGGCGGTGTTGAGTTTAGAGCAAGGTTTCTTGTGAGTGAATTGCTTATTTAATGTAACACAAACACCTCATTGCATGTCATTGGGAAATGTAATTAAACTACACCTTTAATTACTGATTTTAAGTAAAATAACATTATTTACTTGTAGGAATTCAAATGAATGACGTCGAGATTAAAAAATCCCTTTTCAATTCAATTCAATTCAATTCAAAAATACTTTATTAATTTCAGAGGGAAATTGATTTTCCCAGCAAAAATGTTTTCCTGGTCTTTTGCAATTTTATAAAACATCATGCAACCTGCTAGCACTTTGAGTTTGAGTAAAAACCTTCTGCTACTTTCATATTTAGCTTGTTTTTTGTGTAACTGAAGCCCTTTTCAGATTGATGTGTGGACAATTCAGTCCGGTTTTTAACCAGAACTGTGTTTTCACACACACCACTTTTGTACCTGAACTTGTCCTTTCGGCTGCCTTCACACAGCAGGGAAAAGTTCCAGATGTCTGAGGTGGATGGGGTGGGAAGGCTGTACCTGGATATTGCGTAAACATAGTGCAGCGGGCGTACATGCATCATTTACCCAAACAAAGCCATTCGGTCAAACATGGCAGACGAAGAGATGGAATTCCTCTCACTGATCGGCCTTATGTTAAGCATAGTTCTGCGCACACGAAGACGCATAAGAGACCTGGATGATGAAGCTCAATGGTTAAAGGAATCACTGAAGCGGTGTGAAGCGCTCCGTCGCGCGTCTAGGAGACGGTACCATAGGAGGCGAGCTGCCATGGTTCGCCGCATGCTACAGGAGCGAGCTATCTAGGTGCGCACAGCGTCCCCCGGTCCCTTCCCCCTCCCCCTGTCCAGAACTCGACCTCACCAGTCTGAAGCAGCCACCCTGTCCGTGACAAGTCCGGACCTGTTACTAGGGGCTTCGTCCGGTTTAATTACGGAAAAGGTTATCCGGATGTTTGTATTCAGACACAAAGGTCTTACGGACAGAGTCCGGAACATTTCTGTTTTTCATGGCCTGTCTGAAGGGGGCTTAACTTACCTTTTGCATCCATTTATGCTGCCATGTGGGTCTCTACTGCCTCTATTAACACTCCAAACATTAGAAAAATCATTCATCTGTTTTCTGTCAGGGTTTGGTTTTAGGAATTATGTGTCTAGATGAACTGTTTCAAAAAGTTCCCCTTTGTGATGTCACAAACAGGAAACTAGAATAGAACCACCTCTCATGTGCACTGATGCTGGTGGAGCAGCAGTTCTACTCAGAGCTGCTCCCAGACACCACAGCTTCTCAGTTTATAGCAACCCAAGTGGGGGATGAGTGGGTGTGGCCAGCTCCAGCTTATTTTTTTAAAGTGACAAAACTCTGAAACTACTCATTCTGGAAGGTACTGAAAATGTTAAGAATAAAACAGCTGAATTTGCTGCCTTGTTTAATGTGAGAGGGATTTAGTGCAAAGAATTTCATAAAAATGTTTCGCATCGAGCATAGAACTATTATCACTTAAGAAAAAAAATAAGTCATAATATGTTCCTCTTAATATGATGTTCTAGAATGTTGTTGTAAATCAAATGAATACTTTCTGGGAGTTTTTGACCAAAATCAACCCAGAGATCAATGAGGTACAGTAGGATGTGAATGTTTGGGCAGCCTTGTTAATGTTCATGACTTTTGTCTATAAATCGTTGGTTGTTCTGATAAAAATTTCCAGGTAAATATATCATATAGGAGACACACACAGTGATATTTGGGAAGTGAAACGAAGTTTATAGGATTTACAGAAAGTGTGCAATAATCGTTTAAACAAAATTAGGCAGGTACAAAAATGTTGGCTCTGCTGTCATTTTATTGATTCCAAAACATTTTGAACTAATGATTGGAAGTTAAAAGTGGTTTGGTAAGGCACAGTTCAAGCTCAAAGGGGCAGACCAAGAAACATCTCAGATAAACAGAAGTGAAGAATGGTGAGAACAGTCAGAGTCAACCCACAGACCAGCACCAAAGACCTACAACATCATCTTGCTGCAGATGGAGTCTCTGTGCATCGTTCAACTATTGGGTGCACTTTACACAAGGAGATGTTGCATGTGAGTGTGATGCAGAGGAAGCCTTTTGTCCACTCACAGCACAGAGCTGCTTGAGGTTTGCTAAAGGACAATTGGACAAGCCAGCTTCATTCTGGAATAAGGTGCTATGGACTGATGAAACTAAAACTCAGTAATGGGCTCCATGCTATGCATGTAGGAAAAAGAACACAGCATTCCAAGAAAAACACCTGCTACCTACAGTAAAACATGGCGGTGGTTCCACAATGGAGACTATTTCCAGGAATCAGTGCCAAAGCTTAAGCCGCACCAGGGCTGGATGTTTCAACAAGATCACTCTGCACTGCTCAAAATCTACTAAAGCATTCACGCAGAGGAGTGTTCTGGAATGGCCATCTCAGTCCCCAGACCTGAATATTATTGAATATTTGGTGAGAGTTGAAGAGAGCTGTCCATGCTCAGAAGCTGTCAAACTCGAATGAACTAGAGATGTTTTGTAAAGAAGAATGGTCCAAAATGCCTTCAGCCAGGATCCAGACTCTACGGTTATTCTGTGTTTCATCCAACTGCATTGCTTGGTTCTTTTTTTTTTAACACAGCAAAAGAGTTTTTTTTTTCACCTTTTTTTTTGCTGACGTTGAGTACTCACTGTAATCTTCCTCAGAGCTTCGCCAATGCTGGTGGCATCACTTCCTTCTCTGTTTATCAGCGGGCAGCAGAGGTCGATGTCACCCGCTGCTGTCCTCGTCAATGACACTGTCCCATGTGTGATCCAATGTGTAGACCAGTGTATGTGTATCAGTGGCTATGGCTTTTTAAGTCCTCCATGAAAAACTCGCCATGGGTGGCTGATTGGGATGTAAGAAAATATCGATGTCGCAATATATGCAATGAGCGCCGTTATGGCTGCTCTCGTGGTCTGCCTGTATCTGTTCTGTCTACATGTGTGTGTGTAACCTTGGTCAGGCTGTGCTGCGGAGTCAGATTCCTATGCTCTGGGTCGCTGGAGCGCTGGCAATAAAGCTTTTTCTGATTCTGATTCTGATATCGTGATTTTTTTCCAACTATATTATATCGATATTCAAAAGCCGTCTATCTAATTTATGGAAGAATTTACATGCAAACATTTGTGTATTTTCTTTTCTTTTGGTGCATTTCAAACGACGACCGCTAGTTAGCAGCAGTGTGCACTGGATTTTGTTTCTAACAATGA